CTATTTTCATTTGTGCCTTTTATATCTGCATGGAGCTCACCTTAAAAACCAAAAAAAAAAAAAAAAGAGGACAGCCAAAGCCTGACCCCTGCCAGTTTGTTGCAGACAGGGACCCTTGCTGTCCGTGTGTAAGCAGTGGTCTCAGCAGCGGTCCAACATTCCTCCTGCTGTGTCAGACCTATAGCTCTGCAATCAACAAAGTGCATACTCCCTACTGATTGGAGAGCTCTGACTCAACAGGGGGGTGCTGAAACTCTGTAGCAAGACCACTGCATCTATATAGAGAGTAAGGGTCCTTCTTAACCGCTTACAAGCAGAGGACTGCCTCTTCTACTCAGGCTGCGGCTGATTTTTAGAAAACAAGCTGTAAGACTTTGCATATGCATTAAAATGAAACGTGTACAATGTATTTAGCTGATTTAAACTGAACATTTAGTTGGGCTTCAGAGTTAGGCGTGGCGTCTATCCTTCTGAGCATAGCTGTGATTATTGACTCTCATGAAACTATATCTACTACATATGGAGACGATACCCCTCTATGGTGATCACAGGTTTGAACAGTCACTGAAACTTCACTAAACGTGGGGTGAACACAAATGTACCCTGCAAAGTGTTTTGCCACTGAATAGTTTGAATTGTTGTGTAACCCCTGTGAGAAATGCTTAGAGTCAGAAGGGAAAGATAGCGGCTCCTTTCATATGGAGAAAGGAAAGAGGACACATCGTGTTGGTAATCTATATAGCAATCAAATTTAGCAGTTTATGTACAGAAACTTGGAGAGGTTCATCATGTCATATTGAACTAGATATGAACTTGATACCCTCGTGAGTCTACACCAGTCAAATATTGGACATGCTCTAATAGCTAATGTTCTCGGTTGTAAAACAAAGAGGGAGACATAATTTTTGTACTTCTTACAGTAGTTAAAGCACTAAAACCAAAACTTTGTTGGGCTTTAGTCTTCTTTTTTGGTCACAGGTGCACATTAGTAAATGTACTCCTGTGACCCTAAAAGTCAGCATCCAGCTTATATTATGCAACTAAAGTTCCTAAAATCATCTTTGGGTTCTGGTGAAACAGCTAGGTAATGATTGTGCTACATTTTTGCCCCAAATGTTTCCATTTCTAGCATATTTGGCTAAAAAGAATCGAGACCCAATAACACCAAACTGTCTGCCATGCAGAGACTAGACTCCCAACAGAAAATATTACTAATAATTACATTTTACAAAGGAGATGGAATACAAATACAAGCAGGCTAAAAAGTTGCAGTGGGATTTAGCAATAAAACTGGCCGAAAGCAAAAAAGGTACACTAGTAGTAGGGGTACCAATTTTTTCAAGTACTTTTCCTCAAGTATGTGCCAATACCTTTTTTTAGCCTCATATGAGTTTTACTAAAACAATGCAGACTAATGCTTTTAGGACAGTGGTGGAGGAGCTGGTCCCAGCTGCAACCCTGGTATTTCTGCCACTGAATCAAAGCTGAAGAGAGACTACAAATCTCAGCAATACATTATACTCCATTTCTGACTTCACTAGCGGCATACCCATAATTGTATAACCCATTTGTTTATTTTTAATTCCAAAGTGCATTACTTTGCATTTATCGACATTAAACCTCATCTGCCACATTAATGCCCACTCCCCTATTTTATCCAGGTCCTCCTGTAATGTTATAATGTCTAAGTCCATGTCTATACCCCTCCCAATTTTGGTGTCATCCGCAAACACGGAAATATCGCTGTTAACACCCTCCCCGATGTCATTAATAAATAAGTTGAACAATATGGGACCCAGCACAGAACCCTGAGGCACACCGCTCATTACACTAGCCCAGTCTGAAAAGGTGCCATTTACAGATACCCTCTGTACACGTTCCCGTAGCCAGTTCTCTAACCACGTACACACCACCTCATCTATGCCCATAGCTCTCAGCTTGTGTAGCAAGCGTTTGTGTGGTAC